TTTGACAACATAGCATTGTCAAACTTCGCATGTCATTGTTTAGGAGCTTGCTTCAAACCATACAATGATTTGACAAGCTTACAGATTTTCTTATTTTGTCCTGGAGCTAAAAACCCCTCAGGTTGCTCCATGTAGATTTCTTCATCTAAATCTCCATTTAAAAAAGTTGTCTTTACATCCATCTAATATATCTCCAGACCATGTAAAGTTGCTATCGCAATCACCATGCGAATGGATATAATCTTTGTCACGGGTGACTACGTATCAAAGTAATCTAGGCCATCTCGCTGCCTGTATCCTTTGATAACTATTTTAACTTTATACTTATCAATTGACCCATCTGCTTTCATCTTTCTTCTAAAGATCCACTTACTCCCCAAGGCCTTACTATCTGAGGGTAGATCAACCAACTCCCAGATATGGTTCTGTAGGATGGAGTCAACCTCATTTTTTATTGCTTCTTTCCACAAAGAACTTTCAGGTGAAGTCACAGTTTCATGAAAAGTTCGAGGTTCTTCCTCTAACATAGAAGTCAAGAAGTCCGACCAAAGGATTTTGCGGTCCTAGCTCTTTTACTCCTTCTTGGCTCATCTACTTCCTTAGTTTGATCATCGACTTGATCATCTACGTGATCATTGTCACCTTCAACCTCTTTCATGGAACTCGAAATTCCTTCTTAGAGACGACAAGAAAATACATTTTAAAAGAAATATGCATTTCTTGATTCCATGATAGTATTCTTGTGTATATCTACAACAACAGACTTAAACACAAGAAATTGATATTCATTGCTATTATGTGCATAGCCAATGAATATACAATCCACTGACTTTGGGCCTATCCGAACATGCTTAGGTGTAGGCACCGCTACTTCTGCAAAACACCCCTACATTCGTAGGTAAGGCTTGTGGCCTTTCCACAACTCATATGGAGTTTTGTCTGCATTCTTCCGAGATATTCTATTAAGAATGTAATTCGCGGAGAGAATTGCTTCCTCTCACAAGTTCTGTGGCAACCCAAAACTTATTAACATCGCATTCATCATTTCTTTTAACGTCTTATTTTTCTGCTCAGCAACACCATTTGACTAAAGGAAGTATGGCGCTGTGGTTTGATGAATAATTCCAAATTGAGCACAAATCTCAGCAAACAGGGATTCATACTCACCACCACGATCACTTCTTAAAGCCTTGATCTTAGTTAATTCTCAACTTTATTCTTGAAAAAAATAAATTTATCAATCACTTCATCTTTGCTTTTAAGCAAATACACATAACAGTTTTAGTGCAATCATCGACAAAAGTGATGAAGTACTTGTTGCCACCACGTGATTGTACGACTTTCAAGTCACACACATCACTGTGCACTAAATATAAAGGCTCGGTACTTCTTTCAACATAATGAAAACAAGTCCTTGTCAATTTTGCTTCTACAAAAGTTTCACACTTGTAATTTGGATTAATCTTGAAAGATGATATGTGATCTAACTTGATTAATCTACGCAAAGAGTCAAAATTTACATGACCCAGTCTACCATGCCATAAATTCGGGGACTCAAGCATATAAGCAGAAGAAGAAGCTTTCTCATTAATTTTCGAGATAATACTCATTGCATTTAGCTTAAAGATACCACTCGACATATATCCTTTCCAACATAGACCCCGTTCTTGGTCAACACGACCTTATCAGCCTCAAACACCATGCAGAAACCATGCTTACGCAAGAGCGACCTCAAGATAAGGTTCTTACAAATGTCCGGCACATACAAGACATCGTTCAAAGTCAGCTCTTTTCCTGAAATCATCTTCAGGACCACCTTGCATTTCCCTTCAACAGTTAAGGTCGCAGAATTCCCCATGAACAACTTCTCACCATTTGAAATTGGTTCGAAAGTTGTGAACATCTTCTTCTCAACACAGATGTAAGTAGTGGCCCCAGTGTCCACCCACCATTCCTTTGGGTTTGACCCCACTATGTTCACTTCAGAGACGACAGCTGACAGATGCATGTCGTCCACATCTTGTGACAGATCCTCCATTTCAACCATGTGAGCCCAACTTTTGTTTTGTGGAGGGTCTTTCTTTAGGGCTTCTTCTTCTTCTGGCAATCAACTGCCCAATGCCCATCGCTTCCGCAATTGAAGCACTTTCCATTGAACCTAAAAGTAGGTTCCTTCGGCTTGTAGACCGGTCTCTTAGACTCCGCTTCAAACCCTCAACTTTGAGCTTTTGCTTGTCGGTGGCTTTTTCTTCACTCCCGAGGACTCGCCATGCTCAACCACATTTGCTTTCAAAGTGGAGGTGCTCCCTCCTTTCTTCCTGTTGTCTTCCTCAATACGGAACCTGACAACAAGCTCTTCGACTGTCATTTCCTTTAGCTTGTGCTTCAAGTAGCTTTTGAAGTCTTTCCAGCCATTAGGCAGCTTCTCAATCAAAGCAGTTGCCTAGAATGATTCACTCAGAAACATTCCCTCTGCATGTGTCTCATGTAGAATCACTTAGAAATCTTGGAACTAACTAATGACGATTTTTCAATCCACCGTTTTGAAGTTCAGAAACTAGCCAACGATAAATTATTTTGCCCCAGCATCCTCGGTTTTGTACTTCTTGTCCAAAGCATCCCACAACTCCTTTGCCGACTTCTTGGCATAAAACATTTTGAAAAGTGGATCTGCCAAGCCATTCAGAATATAGTTTTGGCAAAGGAAGTCTGACTGCTTCCAAGCATCTAGAGTCATAAGCTTCTGCTTGTCTTGCTTATTCTCCTCCACGACTGGTGGTAGCTAGGTAGAACAGCATCTTTTGCTGCCACCTCTTGAAATTCACACCCGTGAACTTCTCCAGGCACTTATGATGGTTGGGCGAGCCTCCCGGAATAGCAGGAGTAACAACAGGGTTGACCACAGAGATTACAGCAACAGGAGTTGGCAAGCCAGTTTCCTCGAGGTTTTGATCCCCACCAACATTAGCAACAGCATTAGTGACAATTGTCATTTCTAAAAAATACAACAGAATTTCATTATTTTGTGTTTCCAGAAATTAAACTTAACACTAGAAAATCCTAAAGTTAGAAATTTTATTCAAAACTAGTCTCATCACTTCCTTCGAATCGAACATGGTCAGGAATGTTTCTAAGAAGACTAGAGGGGTCACATCGATCCCACTTAAAACCCAGTTAACCTTAGACAAAACTTTCAGGAACATGTTGATTCCTAATCCATGGGAAACAATTTTTAGAATTAAAATTTTCAAAGATGAACTAGGTTAATAACAAACCAAGTTTCAAACTTACATGCAATTGAAAAATTGCTAACCAAATACAAGCAATTAAAACAAAATTGCTACAACAATTACAAACAAATAAAACTTGCTTCTACACATAGGTAAATAACCATAGTTCAAACTCAAGCAAACAATTGCTTCAAATTTAGTCCAAAAAACTCCTTTTCACGCTTAGGTGTTCCTGTTCAACAAAAAGGTTAGTAGCCCAAAAATGTTTTTATTTCAATCCCAAATTTTGTTCCTTTGGATTTGAATTTTTTTTTCCAATCCCTTTCGCATAGAGGTTGTAAATGACATAGCGTTCCTGATAGAAAATGACGACTCCTTCAGAAAAATGAAGTTATTCAAGTTCTTTTTCCCAAAGAAGTCCCGCTCCAACGGACCAACGAGTCATCTACTTAAAAGGACCCTCCCTGCAGTGCGTCCCTCCTTGAATTATTTGGTCATGCAATACTTATTTAATACAAAGAAACAAATGCATTCGGGGAATGGCTGCAATCACAAGCAAATGATTGAATGAGTGGGGGGCCCTGAAAGTACATGCAGGATAAGCAGGTATTTCTAGAGACGGTCTAAAAATGGGTCCGGTCCAGAAAGAGAACTCTCAACAAAACTAAGCTGGAACTAATCAAGATCAATAGGAAGAGGAGTTAGCTAGGAATCTATTGACAAAGTTCATGCCACGACGATGGTATTCCTATAGTGAAGGTTAGCAGAAAACCACAATAAAATATAATGCACACATTATTCACAAAAACATCCCTCAGCTTTTCTTTACTTTTGGCAAAAGTAGTGATTGAAGGATGACAAAATTTTATCCCCTCAGCTTTTCTTTGCTTTTGGCAAAGTAGTGAATGAAGAGAGATGGGAATGAAACCTTATCTAAGAATCTAATCAATAGCAAAAAATTAAAATTAAAATGCTATACAGTTTACACAAATAAACCTTAAAACTTCACAATCAAATTTAAAATTTAATTTACACAATAAACATGTAAATAAATATAGACAAGTTACAAAACTTTATTACTCCAAATACTTAAATTAAAATTTTAATTAGCAAGGGTTACATCTGAACTTATTACACATTAAACATGTAAATAATTCTATCAATTAAAATCATTCAAATATTCTAAAAAATTATAACCATGTAATGTAACCAACTAAAATCTAGAAATAAAGAACATGCAAATTTCCTACAAATCTAGGATCTAACCAACATGTGAATATTAATCTACTATATAGGAAAAATGAACATGTATATCATATTTGAAACATACACTACTAAAAAAAACACTTTTTGTGACCGCTATAAACCGTCGTAAATAATAAAGATACAGTCGCAAAAGATCTTTTGCGTCGGCCCATGCAACGGCAAATGGGTGTCGCAAATGTGGAGGTGGCAAACACTTTTTGCGACGGCATAGCAACAGTGGCAAATTATTCGCAACCGCCTAAATTACTTATGGCGACCGCTATTTTGCCGTCACAAAAAAACAAAATAAAAAAAAACAAGAAAGTATAAAATTAGAAATTATTCAAAGTACCCAGAAAAACTCATATCCTATTTTAAAAAATAAATAAATTGCATGGTGCTAGTGGTGTGACACCAAAGCAGGTTTAAAGTAGTGTAAATTATTCTATACAAAATGTATATCCAGTGCTAAGAAAAATTCTAAATAAACAGGGCCACATGACTCACATCACCAAAGAAAGTTAATAGGTGTATCAACACATATATCATCTCGATGTGGAAAGAAGTTTAAATGAATTGTAAAATTCATTCAGAAAATGTACAAGGAATTTAAAAGAAGTAAATGAGTCAGATATATATACACGTGCACGCTCGACTTTAAAATATACTCATGAGAAAGATTCTCTATCTCTTCGTCGAGCTTCCTAGTGTTCAAAGTAGTGCTGCTCGAGGCAGCTTTGTTTCAGCTCGCGTTTGCTGTAAGAGAAAGTATAAATTATAAGTACTAGTATTTAAGTTAAAATAACTAACAAATACCCGATCCTCATCATACTGTAAATACGAAACATGCAATAACAAGTAATGAGTTAATTAATGTAATATGCTGTTGACTCTTGGCACTTAATTCAGAAGAATAAGATGAACATCACTAATTCGGAAGAATAAGATAGTATCAATTGCGATTGATTTTTAGACAGTCCAATACTACAAAACTAAAATGTAAAAATTTGTATCTTAAACAAGCATTAAAATTGCTAGGGCTTCACATGTTGATCATGAACTAACATATTTCAAGGAAATCCAGGCTTTAAAGCAAATATCTGATCATTTCTCATACAAAAAGCTAAGAAACCAAAAACAGAGGACAATTCAATCTATCAATTCCTCTTCATGATATGCATCAATTCACAGCTCGATACACAAATAATTTATACTAATATATATCTGCAACAGTTTTTTGTTGAGAAACAATTTCATCAATTAAAGTTCTAGAATAGTAAAATACCTGTTCATCAAAACTTCCATTGAAAATGTTGGTGCCGCTATATACTTGATCATCATTATCATCAGATATTGTTGCCCCCGTGCCTTCTTCAGGAGAAACAAGTATTCATGTAGCATGTTAAAGCAAAATTTGCTTTAGTATTTTATGATTTAGCCAATGCATAGAGTTTAACATGGTAAACCCAGTTCCCTAGAAGCAATCGTTTATCCACAAAATATACAAAGCAATAAGTGTTCCTTCATTTTTAATTTTTCCCCCCATGAATGGAAATAAATAAAAATTTAAAAAAGAGGATAAGGATGTTTGAGGTTAGATTAGAGATAATCGGTAGAAGAAGGATGTTTGAGATCTCTTCCTCTTTCTCTTACATCTGGCAGCTTTTCAAAGCCTTCCTAACCAAATACAGCCCCTATAATTTAGAGGAAACAAAAACAGAAAGACCAACATAAATAAATAAATAAAAGCACTTCCTTAAATAAGAATTAAAATTTTATTTGTTTGATTGAATGAATGAGATTGTCTTGAGGGGGATAGGTTGGATAGAGCATGCAATTCTTAAATGATGAGTGAAGATATAATTAGGACGTAACACAGTCATTAAACTAATAGACATACCTTGTCGCTATATTAAGAATTTGCATATTGCTTCTTGAGCTCCCATGCATCATATCTAAGAACTCAATGAAATGGGTCTCAAAATAATTTATATACATTGCCTTTAGAAGTCTTGTTTAGTACCATATTAAGTTTCTAAATTATACAACCATGAAACTTGCAAACAGACAACAGGTCATTATAAAATAGAAATTAATTTTTTTAAGATAAAGCTGTGATTCAATGCTTAACACACACACACACACATACACATTTTGAGATTATAGATTTGAAGCAAAATTGCAAACCAGAGAGACATGAGATTGACAGAGTCGAAGAGTTCAAGATCTTGAGGAAGTTGAGGACGGCTACTTCGATTCTTGCTCGGACCTCAACAAAATAAATTCAATTTCAATTTTGAAATTCACATATACATAATATATAGAGGTACATATATAGGTGTGTTTACCTGAAGAGGAAGAAGGATATCGACATAGCAGAGGTGCTGATCTGAGAAGAACATCAAGGAGAGAGAGCACAAGATTGAGAGACAGATACAGAGAGAGAGAGAGAGAGAGAGGAAGGGAGAGAGAACGAGATTGAGAGACCAGAGATTCATAGTGTGAGACCGAGAGAGGGAGGGAGAGAGAGAGAGAGACAGCGTTTGTGAAGGGACTAGGGCAAATATAAAAAGAAGGGGAAAATAAAAGAAAATAAGACATAAATTGGCAATTTGCGACTGATAATTAGGTGGTCGCAAATTATATGGTAGCAAAAGGACATTTTTAGTCAGGTCGATTGTAGACGCCGGGAGGCCCTATTTACGCACCACTTTCTCTCTCAAGGCAAATTATTTTTAAAGGCAAACCAAAAATAATTTATAAAAATAAATATTTTTTTCATCATACATCACAAATTTATATATTTACCATTACTCACACACCCACCTACAACAATATATACACAAAGTTTCATCTTTGCCCCCACACAGCCACACACCCTACACCCACAATATTCATCTCCCCCTCCATTCTCTATTCACACCGGTGAACATCATTGCTGAAAACACTCATCAAGACATCGTCGGTGGTGTTACTCAATACAGTTCTGGAAAAAAAATAAAAAATAAAAAAATTTATGACTATTCGGCAGTATAAAGTTGAATTAAATGAAAAAGTTCGACCGTAGTAATCCGAACAAATTGCACTTGTTCGATTGTAGTCTGTTAGACATATGTAAGTTGTTCGATTGTAGTCTGTTGCACAGATGTAATTTGTTCGATTGTAGTCTGTTGAACAGATATAATTTGTTCGATTGTAGTTTGTCGAACAATGATATATCATTCACCTCTGGCTAACCCAACAACGATTTACCACTCATAAACGAAAATGAAGACAAAAACAACAAAAAAAAAAAAAATAACATTTTCATTGCTCCATTGTTCCGAATGAGAATTGTCAGATGCATCCTTCATTGAATCCAATCAAAATCTTCAATAATACTATATTTTTGATTATTTGTTGAAGGGTTTTTGATTTTGGTTTTAGGGTTTTTGGATTCTTGACAGAGAAGATAAGTAAGAAACAAGTTTGAAATTGATGATTTATATTATATTGATTCTTGTCCTTTATGGTAAATACACAAATGGGGTATATCATAACTTGTCATTTATAATCATTTCACTTAAGATTAAAATTATAATAAAAAATAAATTAATTAATGATTTACCGTGAAACGAAAAGTAATGTGTAAATAGAATGACCCGAAGACGACTATTTGATCACTTAAGTCGGCTTTTAGACTGCGCACATCGTACTTAATACACCCTCTATAAGTAAATGAAAAATGCCTCATACACCCACTGGGGGTCGACCCCCAGTGAGGTGGCACTCCATTATTGGATAAAAAAAACTGTTTTTTTTTTTTTTTTTTTTTGGGGTTTCAACCAGTGGGGGCGCGACACCTCACTGGGAGTGTGACCCCCCACTGGGGGTATGCAGCAGTGTTGTAAGTAAATAATAGAGGGTAAGATCACTAAACTGTCGGATCAAAAGTAGACATGAACTAATATCACTAATACTATTATGCACATCCTAAGAGTAATTCTAGTAGTAAGGTATTGGAGTTATTATTTTAAAATAGTATGGATTTTATTTTTTTCATCTCTAACAATGAATTATCAGAATTATTAAATTATACTTTTGATATATTTTTTATCAAATTTGATACCAATTTTACCTATAGTTAAAACTGCCAATACAATAGTTTTAGAAGACAAGTGATCGACTCGGTAGATGACCAGATGGTCGACTAGTTGGTAAAAATTTTGCACAATTTTGCAGAAAATAGTAATTTAACCATTAGAGTAATATTATTATTTTATAACTATTTTACACTATTTATTACCAAATTATAATTTTATAACTATTTTACACTATTTATTACTAAATTATAACTTTAATTATTCATTTTAGCTATAAATCATTAGACTTGCTCCAAGATACTACTTCACGTGCTGATTCCTTATTGGAGAAAGGGTTAGCAATATCACCACCATATACAAATGAAGAATTCTATATAAACCAATGAATTACATCAATATTCTCTTATCTTCTTTTTCAAACATTTTAAATTTTATCATCAAATAGTCCTTGAGAAAGACACTCACCAATAAATTTTTAAAAGTTTATTTACGAAATCTATGAAAAGAAAGTTTAGATCCGACTCAAAAGCATAGATTCGCTATTGATCTAATCCAATTCATGAGTCTATCATTTATGCTGCGTGGAGTTTGGGAATTTGGGGAGGGATTTAGAAAGAAAAATGAAAAAGAAAAATGTGTGTGAAACTAGGTGAAATTTAGGTATGTTTTATTCACATTTCACTTACCTTTTCCATTTCCCTTTCTAAATTCCTCTTCAAATCCCCCAACCAAACACACCATTAAGAGTCTTCGGGAATTGATTTTTAAAATGTTTTTCTCTATTTTATAAAAACATAAAAAAATTAAAATAAAAGAATTTAACAACTTGCACCAATTTTTTAATTTTTTCTTTTTTATTAAAAATCAAAATTCGCAAACGAGCACTTTGTGATAACATCAACCATAATGGTGCGCAGGATGCACACCACATGCTATGCCAATGTGAATGCTTAAAAAGGTCAAAAACAAATAGAAAATGAGTGAGAGCACTAATTAGTGTTACCATTAATGATGTGGCAGTGGATCTCATCATGAATGATTTGATATTTTGATCTTAATATTGTATTTTTTTTTATTGAGTGTCATGTCATTAATGATCTTTTTAGAGTTCTAAAATTAGTGGCATTGAAATCATCACATGGATTGACTTTTAAGGCAAAAAAGGTGACGTGAGTGCACTCACTTTCTTTTAAAAAGAAAAAAAAGAAAAAAAAAAAAAGAAGAAGAAGAAAAAGAAAGAAAGAAAAGAAAAAAAGTTAAGAGTTATTTGAAATGAACTAAATAAATATATTTTTTAAAAATTTGAGATTAAAATATAAATATAGGTTTAATTAATTATTTAAAAATAAAAATATGTTATCTTTGTCACTGTAATAGACTTTTTCACTCTTTAAACAAATCATACCACCCTCATTATCTCCCTTCTCTCTCCTTGTGAAAATATTACATTTTAATAATAAAACTAAATCACTTTTCTTTTTTTTTGTTAACACTCCAATTTAAATTTTGAATTCAGATTTGTTCACCAAAGAAAAAAATATTTTCAAAAAAGAATCTTCTAATTATATTTTAATCTCACCATTAAATATAAATATTTCTAATGATATTGCGTCTCATAATAACCAAACAACTTCACTTTTTTTTATTTATTTAAATTTTAATATCAACTTTGTAAACTAAAAAAAAATCCACAAACATTTTTTAACATAACCATCACCAAATGATGTCATATTTTTTCGTGACTAAAGTATTCAGGCGGTAATAATTTCTTCCCTCATTTTGATTTGTTTTGGCTACTAACTATTTAGTTGGCCAATGGCTTTCATTTTCATTTTTGCTTTTTTTTTTTTTTTTTTTTTTTTATACTAACTACAAAAAACCCCATAAATCTAAGGCATGCTTTTCACTTTTAAGAGCATAAAACACATAAACCCATAAATCTAGGGCATGCCCGAGTTATAGAAAAAAAATAAATAAATAAAATTAATGTTTGGTTTCTCACTCATCTTCCTTTTTCTATCTCTCTCTTTCAACCTCACCAATTCCAAACCACCGTCCTACAATTTCTTCAAAACCACAGTCTCTCTTATGGACAACAACCCAAGATTAAAAAATCCTCATTGCCGAATCAGAATTCGAAATCACCCTCTTTGTACAGTTACACCACCCTAACCAACAACAACCCTCTCCGAAACCACTCTTACTACCACCCTAGAATGCCTCTTCCATGCCCTCTCCGGCGCAATGTAGAGCCAAAACCTTATTCGCGGTTATCTACGACAACACTAGCATCGGCCGCGACTTCAACAGGTATCGTAGGGCGACGGTTCATTTGGATCCAATGCTCTCTGTGGTGAAAATGCTACACTCAGACGGACTCGATCTTCGGTATGACCAAATTGACTCACCAGGCTGCAACAACCGTCAAATGTGTCTCTACCAAATATCGTACAGTGACGGTTCATTCACGGTGAGCGATTTCTCAACCGAAATGTTGACCTTTCGGAAGACCAGAGTCCCCAATGTTACTCTTGGATTGGGTCACAACAAGGCTTGTTCGTTGACACCGCCAGATT